GCAGTGAACGTGTAGTTCGTTCTGAAGCAACTGGAGATAGGCTTAGGGAGGCACAACATATAAACAAATCTGTCAGCTCTCAAAGACGTAATCTTTTGCTCTGGGACAAAAGAATGCTCACGTCCCTTATAGAAATAGCAAACTAACTCAAGTTCTCCAGAGTTCTTTAGGTACATTTCAGTTTTCAGATTTTAATTTTGCTATTGTGATTTTACAGCATTATTATGCGCAGTAGTTTACATATGTTAAATGGTTTTATTTTCTCTTACTGATTACTTGTCCTTTTCTTTTAATATCAAATTGTAGGTGGCAAGGCAAAAACCCTTATGTTTGTGCAGCTTAATCCTGATGTAGATTCATACTCTGAAACAATAAGTACTTTGAAGTTTGCTGAGAGGGTTTCTGGTGTTGAGTTAGGTGCTGCACGGACTAATAGAGAACGGAGAGATATCAGAGAACTCATGGAACAGGTATACCTTTCTCTTCCTCTTCTCATTTTCCCCTTGTTGCAAAAGTTAATGTGGCATAGGTGTTGAAACCAAGTAGCGATTGTTACTACCTTGGTTATCTTTTTTCTATGGCAATGGATAAAACACAGAGTTACTGTCCAAAGTTGGACCAGGAAATTCCAACTTTAACTAATGAGCCTATCAACTGGCATCCTTGCAGCAGCATAACCTAGTTTGCGTCTCTAGCTTTCATCAGCCTTGATTTTTGCTGAAAAGAATTTGCATGAACCTGCCAGTTTACAAAGATTTGATTCTCTGTCAGTTTGAGGAGATATACTTTTAGGGTTTTTCTTCCTAAGATCTCAATAAGATATGGTAACTCTGTTTAGGAGAAATTCTTGGTGTAGCACACGATTCTTGACAGAATTTTATTTTTCTTGAAGAACATTTTAACCATTTTAGATCATTTAATCTGTCATTTCATTTCTGATCTTCTATTGATCTTGCAGGTTGCATTCCTCAAAGAAACCATCACAAAGAAAGATCAGGAGATTGAGCGTTTGCAGTTCCTTAAGGGTAATGGCAATGGTATTAAGCATGGTATGAGCTCACTAAGGTATGGATCTTCCTCTCCTAGGGGACACTCCAGTGGGACTCCAAGACAAAGCCAGAGCCTCTCAACATGGCAAAGCTTGGGAAAGTTTGAGAAAGCAGCTTTTGATGTGGACAATTGCTCAATTAACAGTGATAAGAACTCTGAAGCTGGCTCTCATCGGTCAATGGATGACTCAAAGCATCACAATGAATCTTCTGTGCAGACAAACCTTGCAAGAAGAGATTTGGGTCAGAGTATTACTGATGATATTGCACTCTTGGGCTTTGGAGATGCAGATTCAGAGGAGAGATTAAGTGATATATCTGATGGGGATCTATCGATGGGTGGTGCAGAAACTGATGGCTCAATCTGTAGTGCTGTAGAGTTCACTCTTTTCCCAGAAGTTTCAAAACCTTCTGATAAACCAGATAAGGTTGAGAAAGCAGACAAAGCTGAAAAATCTGAAAACATTGGGAAGTGAGTATCCTTCAACACCTTTGGCTTTTATTTTGTATAGGATCTTGTTTCTGGATTAAGTAATGGGAACAAGTTTCTAATCAACTATTGTTTTTGAACTAGAAACTAAAGTTACTTGCTAATGGTTGCTATAATGACTTAAAAATTAAATGCTGCTGGCAGAATTGCAAAATTAAATGTTGCTAGCAGAATTGATAACCACAAGAATCATTGCAATAACTGATAGAATCATTGCAATATCTGATAAGTTGCTTAATTATCCTTTTCTCTCCTCCTTGCTCTCTATAAATTCGTGATTATATATTTACATTTAAGTTGTTAGCATAAGTTTGTGCAGAAGTATTTTGAATGATACACATTGCTTGGGCTTGAAGCCTCTGATAGTAAAACAGGTCAGTGAGAAAATTCTTTTTGATTTTTCTGATTGGCTCATTTGTTGCTTGAAAATAGGTCCGACGTCCCATCTAAGCTTCCAAAGCTGGCTCAAAAGGCGATGCAAACAAAACCTGCTCGGTTGTCAATGTCCAGGAGCACCTCAAAGGTTTCGTCAAGTATGTAATTTTATATACTATTATTCTATATTCGAACTGTTTTAGTCATTTTTCAGGCTAAACTATCTGAGTAGCACTCCACTACACTGCTAGCACTACTGCTACAGCTTACTTTTCCTGATTTGTCAAAATTTTTTTATCTGATTACCATCATGTATGACTGAACCCTTTTATGACAGTTTCTTAAATTCTATTGCTTGTCCTCAATTCTTTCGTTTTGTTCCTTGGAATGTATATCAGGTGCTTGGAAAAACACTGTTGTCACCACTGGCAGTTCTTCGACTAAGTCCCTGAAACGAAGGCAGTGAATTGAATTATATTTACAGCTTTACTATGCTTATTGCCTCTAGGTTGTTCCTCGCTTCCATTTTCACTTGTAAAAAACATGATCAAGGGTCATATCAGCCCCTTCACTCGGGTTCTCATCGTATTGCCCATCTATATATATTTGTCTTTCTTTTTTCCCAAAAAATCCTTCAGATTCTGTCCAAATAAGCTGTAAAAAGGAAGGAAGAAATAACCTGATTGGATGCTTATTAAAAAAAAAAAAAAAAAAGGCCACCCATTTTATTGCATTTGAAGTTTTTTGGTTTTTACTGTATTCCTCGCAGGTGTAAAGACTTGTTTTCTTCATTCGGCTACGTATTAAAAAGCGGTTTGTTACTATTTCGTGCCTGGTGTATTGAAATCTATGGTATGAAAATGAATTACAATAAATTATCCAAAAGAAGAAAAATAAAAGAAAGAAAATGAATCACAATAAAAATATCAGAAAGGAACAGAAGCACTTGCCATCGAATGAAGACTTAATTCGAACTACAGTAAAATGTTAGTTGAACTGATGAACATCAAGTGACGGGAGTCATCCAAAGGGCAGAGGAAGATGTTTTAATAACTTCAACTTCAATTAATAATTTTCAAATATAAAAATTGCCATTTTTGATCACCAAGGTCTGGGTGGTGTAGTTGGTTATCACGCTAGTCTCACACACTAGAGGTCCCCGGTTCGAACCCGGGCTCAGACAATTTTTCAATTTTGAATTATTTTTCATTTCTTTTTTAATGTCTACTGAATATGGGGTACTCACTTGACGTGCCCCAATAACCCACCCAAGAGAAAAGCAGCTTTTGCAAATCCTTTTTCACCCAATGAACTTATTTCTATTCAGGCCGAATTCAAAAAAGTTTTGTGAACTAATTAGTCATGAAGAAAAATAATTAGGTGAAGTTCATTTACCATGAAAGAGAAAAGGAAACAAATCTACATGATTTCAGTTGTAGAAATGCTTATTGAAATTTGAGAAATGTTTTGGAAAATTTCAAAATTTATCCATGAAAGAAAGATTCCGAATTAGCTTTGTATATATATATACACACATATATATATACACACACTACATGGACCCAACTAATATTTATAGAATGGAATATTAACACAACAGTTATCACCATCAAGGTTTCACGGTTTGCATTCATAATTGTTAGAGGGCACATGCATGGAGGCATTATTAGCAAGCTAATGATGACACTTAGCATCAAAGCGTGTGGAAAACTATTTTTGCTTATAGAGACCTTTTGAGGGAATTGGTGATCCAATTAATGATGGAAATCTAATTGATTTAAAGGCAAAACGTTAAAGGTAAAACCGACAAGGTTTGTCATCTTGCCATTTATGTTAATTTTCTTTGTGCTAATGGATATTAATGGAAAATATGGTGCATCAGAAATGGCTGGTGCATGCTGCAAGCAAGCAGAATAGTTATTAGGTTTTATTTTATTTCGACATGTTTTTGAAGATTAATGTGTATTCACCGCTGGTAGATGGCAATACAATTGAACAGAATTAATGTTGATCTCTTTCTAATACGAGGCAACGTTCTTTCGCTTTGAAGAAAAAACATTGTCTTGGTGCTATAATAATGGAGCTATGGAAAGATTTAGGTTAGGGTTATAATTACTTTGTTTTACAAATGCTCAATATGGTTGGACTGATTTATGCCAGTCCTTTCCCTAATGTTTGTATACTAGAAACCATCCCAACAAGGTCCTTCTGTTACTTTTACACGTTCCAACATTCCTCCATTCTCGAATATTGTTCAGTTTGGCACTTTGGACAGTCTTTGCACTCAATTCACTTTCTGTATGAACATAAATCTCGGTCAAATCATCCTACTTTAATTATATCTGCAATCTATAAGGCTGTGATTTCTGGGCAATTAACCCAGTTTCCATTCTGTGATAAAAGGGAAAGGAAAGGACCAAATTTTACATATTTTAAAGTGGATTCAGGAGTGAAGTGCTCGAAACAAAAAGATTTTTCAGTGCAGCGGCTAGTCTATGGAGCTTCAGAGAATGCATCAGCTCACTGCATTTACAACATATAATGGAACTGGGACATCAGAAACATGATATGGGCATTCATTGGTTTGGTGCTTGAAAATACTGTAATGACTCTAATGAGTCATATTGATTTCAACATGGTGAAGTCTGCTGACATAAATTGGCAGAGTTGGTTCTTACTTCTGACTTCTAAGTACCGGTCAGTGGTCACCACAAAATTTTTACATATCATGTGAATGCAACAGTTATCTGGCAGACAAGTCAGCAAGCAATCTGAGAAACACGCGTGGATATCTCACAGTTGAAGTGGCAAACCCAAATAGTTAAAGATAAAAGGATAGATCGGTAAGGCTTACTTTCGAGTCTCGTTGCCTGCAATCGTGATATGTAAATCCAATGCAAGTGTTTTTTAAGACTTACTGTCCATCCTGACTTTGAAATGGAGAAACTTCCTCTCTCCCTAAACTATTTTCACCAAAAAAAAAATGATAGAACAATGTTTTACCTTTTCATCTGCTTTGGCTCCAAACATAGTAAAAGAGTAGAAGGGAAGTTCAAGGTAAAATTTTCTATGATATATTACCCCGATAGCTCCTCAATATAATACAAGTAAAAGGAAAGAAGAATTGTATCTTCAAAATGTCTCAATAGCTACATGACTACTTTTCCATTGCTATCAAGTTACCATATGAACAGTATGGTGTTTCTATTCTAATTCCAATTATAGAAGTGAAGAATGAATCAATAGCAGTGAAGAAATTCTTGTGCGAGAGTAGTAGCCCTCAATTTGTGGCAGGAACTCGCACATCAATCTGTAAATCCATTTGACAGTATTCAAGACAGGCATTTCAGATTTGGATCTGTGCCATTGAATATAGACATCCCTGTACAGTAAATGCTCATTCAAAATGGCAGATGTGTTACCCCTCTCCATCCCTTTGTCACTTGCTTTCAGCCATGGCCACTCCAAAACACATATGGAAAGTCCATTCAAATTCAACAAGCCAGCTGTTTTAGGTCTAAACACGAGCAATTGGAGAGAAAGGAGGGTTAATCACATAGGATGGTGGGATTGCTTCCACCTTTTTGTTCACTTTCTTCTCTTCTGTGACAGCTGCTATTAAGAATTTCACTTCCTCCTCAATAAGCGCTTTTAGTGAATTGCATTGCGACAAATGTTTGCTTTGTGCCTCCCCAGCAGCAGTGGAGGTTAATGTACCATGCAACATAGCAACACAAATTGAAAACGCTTGTAATGTGGATAACTTTGCATGGAAATCAACCGCATACCCTCCTTCAATGGCTGTCATGGTCAATGCTGGCATATTCTCTTTGGCACCCTACATAACAATAATGATAATAATTAAAAATAAATTATTCAAATCTACAAAATGAACAATAATCAGAAACAGTATCAAGAAGTAAAATGCTTTCCAATGATCCGTTTCATGCTAAATTCCATATCTTATTCTCATGACCATCTGAGCAACCAATCAAACCATCTGCGTAGAGATATAACAGAAAAAAAGGGGGTTGAAGATATTTCCATCAGGTTCGTAGAACCCTGTTATAAGACTCTTGGATTTAGAAGCATACATGCATGTTTTATTGGTCATCCAAACATATTGTCATAAAGCTGAGCAAATGTAGAAATAGACCCCTATCCAGGCCACAAGCTAGAGCATGAAATCAACACATCTAGAGCTCTAATCCCAACAAAATCTCCAAAATTAAATGCTCTAAGCCCACATCCTATACCTTTTCTTCTGAAAGATGTTAATGGTGATCCTTATCCAATAATCTGATGGTAAAGCTTTCATCATGCAAGCTATGTTTGTGAGAAATTTGCTTTAGCATAAAACTAAAACCTTACCTGAAGAAAAAGTTCAAGAGGCTGCTTACTGTCCACCAGTGATTGATCTTCAGAACAATTTATACTGGGATTGCCAAAAACTACAAGGGGACAGGCCATGTCCCAGCCACCACAATCACAGCCTCCACCCATCCTCCACCTATTCAGTAGCGGTGAAGGACCCTGGGTCTCAGTACTAGGAAAGCCATGGTTTCCAGTTGGAATAACCACCTTCACCTTTTCTTGGCTCCGGCTATCTATGCTGGTTTTACTTTCATCAATTATAGAGACATTGAGTAGGTTTAAATGTCTCTTATCACCTATTTTATCCCCTTTTCTGTATTTTAAGCTCTCTCTCTCCTTAAACGGTACTTGAATGACTATGGCAGCAATTTCAAGGTTCGGATGCAAGTCAGCAGCAGGTAGCCATGGAGTTGATCCATTTAGGGATTCAACCTCATCACTGTCAGAAGCAAGATTTAAGTGATCTTTAAACTTCACTGCATTAGAGCCATCATCTGATTCACAGCATCCCACAGCCAAGCCTGGACTAGAGCAGATAGGGTTTTTATGAACATCAGAGGATCCTTGGACAGAAACACGATGTCTTGCATGTGCAATATCATATAAAACAAACTCCGTAACCATGGAGCTGTCAACAACCCCACCATCTTTAATTTCTGAGCACAAACAGCAGGAAACTTGCATCTGTGCAACAATTGAAGAATCTTTTATGCTATCACTCAATCCCCATATACTGGCATTGCTCTTCTTTCTGTTGCTAATTGAGTGAAAGGTGTATATCCAATTGAAAGCATTATCTGCCTTCCATGTTTTGGCTAGAAAAACATCTTCTGGTTGATTCATTGAGAACTCAAAAAATGGCACCCCATTTTTAGCTCCCAACTTGAGACAACCATGTAGGTGAACCGGTGAGCTTGCCACTGGTGAGTGAACATTATCTTTCTTGTTAAACTGGGAATCCAATTCAGAATTCTTAGGTGAATGTGAGAAGTCATGCAACAAAGATTTCCGAAATGTCTTTTTTCTTATATTTTCCATCCCAATAGTTTTGACAATGTCAGCTTCTGGTACATAACCCAAAGGACTTCGCAGAGACTTTGATTTCATGAATGGATCAAACATCTTTCTAATAGGACTAAATCTAGCCCTCGAGCTGCTTCTGGAGAACCGGTCACTTTCTGATAAAGAGGGTGAGTGAGACACTTTGACCTTAGCAGAGAGTGAGTTACACAGATCACGAACTGTGTCCTCTTCAACAAGGTCATTACCATCATCTAAAGGACTGACAACTGGTTCACATCCAAAACTTAAGTCCCTCTTGTTGTTTATCCCTAAAATTTCCGCCAACTGTTTTTCTCTCTTATCTGAATCTTTATTATCTGAAATTAGACAGATTTCAATGAAGCCATTTGACGAGCATGATTCTAAGCAAGCTTTGCTAATGGATGCTGATTTCAAGTTTGAGTCGATTGACATCACTGGATTTCTTTCTCGTGGGCTTTCCTCTTCTGAATTACAAAGAGAATCAACAATTCTGAAGGAAAAAGAGGTGTCACTACCACGTGATAATTCAATTTTCCTCCTCCCCTCAACAGTACCCGTTTTTTCCTTTTTCCTTAGCTCTTTGGAGCTTCGATATATGGAACCTCGCTTCAGCTCAGCATTACTTTCTGTCCCCATAGGTCTAGATGGAATGTTCTTACAAGAAGCACTGCCGTAGCGACTAATGCTGGTTTCAGTACAGGCCTCCTTTGTCCTCAATAAATCCTCTTTATGACCTGGCTTTCCTTTTGGATATCCATTTTCCATGTTTGAACATTGTTGAGGAGATGGAAGAACAGTTTTAGGACTCAGATTCAATGTGCAGTTCTTCTCCAGGTCTGACTCCATCTCTAGTCCCATTGATACATTTACAGTCCTGCAAGTAATGCAAGTCATATAAACACAGATTTGACATATCAGCTAAACAGAGATTAACATCTTCCACTAATCCTGAAGAAAACTAATTTCTTTAATTAAATATTCTCAAAGTAGGATCAAGACATGCCCCATTAATTAGGATATGCTTGACCACATAAGATATTTGACCAGCAGATTTGTAGTAAAAATTTGAAGCATGCATAATATCAATCAGTATAAAATCGATTCATCACATCCAAGTTGCTCCAAATTATAGTCTCATGCCCATTTGACCATATCCCATAAACCACCAAAAAGACGCTGTTCCTAAAAGACCTGAAAGAAAAACAACCCTTGTCCTTGTACAAAAGAAAAAATCACCAATGAAGCTCCAAATATGACCTCAATCAAGCAAACACAAATTGTCAGCAACAAAGCCAAATCATTGATCATAACTCTAATACAAGCAAAACTGATATGCTCATGAAAGATAGAGGAGGGGGAAAAAGAATAAACAAACAAATTAACTCCAAATCTTCTCATCATGAAGCACTAGAATGTGATCTTAACTTTAGAAACAACCTTCATTTGGAAAAGCTGGCCTGCACCTCATAATTGGCAGTGATCTCATAAAACTAAAACCCATGAACCAACAAAGAATCTCGTGATCTCTATAAACAAACAAAAATTAAGTAAAGTGACAGGGATAAAGGCTATACAATTATTTAAAAAAAAAAAAAAACAACTTTATTTTCACTTGCATTCCAAGCCAACAAAAAGTGGCCAAAGCAAATTGCTAGAGAAAATGGGCATACCCCACTATAGATCTTACAGAAGTGAATTCAAAGAAAAACCCAAGAAACTGTAAGTAGATGCAGTCATACCCTTCAAACAGTTGAGCTCAGAGTCTCTTATGAATCTACAAGAAGCAAAGAAAAAATAAAACACCAAAAACCTTCTTTAAAGAAGAGTCAAACATGACAGAGTACTTCGAATTATAAAAGAACCAAACAAAACAAAAGTACAATATAAAAGCAAAAAAGAAAAAAACAATAAGAACTGGACCAATAACTACAAAAGCATAAAAGACACAAAAGTATGAGTGGTTTGAAAGAGAAAGAAACATGAGAGAGAGAAAGCATGCCTTGCCTTGCCTTGCCGTGCCTTGCCTGTGCTATAGATTGTGCTTAGGAAGGAGAGTGAGAGTGAAGTGTTGAGTATTTGGTCTCTTTCACGTGAGCTCCCAGGAGAGACAATGAGCTGCTCAATTTCTGTTCCTGTCTAGTAAAAAAGCAATCTTGTTTCAAGTCATCATATGCTTGCCGGCTATATTTTTTTTTTAAGCTTTCTTTTTATAAGAAGAATGAAAAAAATGAAAAAATTATTAATTTTATGTTTAAAATTTATAATTATTTTTTTATTTTATAACTTAATAATTATATTAATAAATTTTTTATCCTTAATTCCTTACATTCTCCCTACCAAACATTATACTTTTTCAGCTAAACATTAAGATAAGTTTTAATGGGGGCAACCTCATCAAAAAAGACAATAATACCAACAAATGATACTGGTCTCATTTCATTACCATGGGTAGTTTCGGTTTTTCACTTGTCATTAATCAAAAAGTTTGATTCCCTGACCTTGATTAGAAAGAGGTCAAGGTCTGTATCATTGGCACAGAACTATTACCTTATGGCTTTGGGAACAGCACATTATTAACACTGGATGCCTATAATTAGTTTAACTGTTCCCAACAATTATACAAACATTTAAATTAAGACAATAATGTTGTAAATTCCAGATATGCCCTAACAAAATTACAATAAAGCCCCTAATCATGGATGATGCGGACCAATTACTTGCCAAAAATGCCCCAATTCTGTTTAGATTATAAACAATAACATTTCAACAACTTCATAAAATCTCACCAATTGATTCATATATTTGATAACTTATTAAATTTTAAGTTTTAACTACTTATAAACAATTTAATAAATTGCTATATGGTAAAAAATTCATGAAGGTTTAATAAATTTTGGAACCACCTTTTGTTGTGATCAACTTAATTAAAGTTTGCATGGCCCAATAGGTTGGATGTGTTACAAAAAAATTTAATAAAATAAAATTAATGTGTTAGGATTAGACATTCAAGTCTCTGAAATAGAAAATTCTGGTGGAAATTTTCGTTTGGGGGTGGTAAAACAATCAATTATGATTTGTTGGCAATTTAAGAACAAAATGCTAAAACATTTAAGATGTAAGATGGACATGCTTTTAACCTTTTTTTTTTTCTTGAAACACAAAGACAATGATTCATCCTTGAGAGTGGTTGGAGAGAAAGAAATGAAAGAGCAAGTGGCATTGAAGCATTTTGTAGTTTTTTCTACATTGTTCTTAACGTTTTTTTTTTTCCATTTTCGGAGATGTGGTGAATGGTGAAGGACAAAATGGTAAAATATTGGTTTATGCATGTGATTTGTTTAGGCTGTAGGAAGCAAAATGTGGGGCGGCCAATCATATCTCTAACCCACGGGGGAATCTGCTGTTTGTTCGTTCATGTTTGTCATTGCTTTACTCCAATTCTGTGGTTTTGGCCACCTTTTAGTTTTGATCACCTATTTTCATTTTCTTTGTTATGTTGGATAACAAAACATTATATTCCAATATAATAAAATTTAGTAGTAAAAAAAATGCCTACAAGTGTTACAGTGAAGTTATTTGATAATTAAAATATAAACGAACAAATTATTTGATAAATAATTCATAAAAAAATTTAATTTTTATTTATTTATTAAGTTTAATAAACAATCATAAATAATATTTTAAGTTTTTTTAATTAAATGAACAAGTTATAAATATAATAAAATTCATTAATATAAAAGTGTAGAAAAAAAAACATTCGGTAAAAAATTTGTAAACAGGTTCAATTTTAATTTATTTATATTTGTTTATATAAAAAAAATCAATGAACAAATAATATAATAAAATTCATTCAAGATTTATTTACACCTTATTAATAATTGAAATAGGGTGGAGATTGATCAAATTTGCATGGCTGCCTACAAGGCTAAGTTATAACTTTCAGTTGGTAACCGAAAAAGGAAACTCTTACTATAAAGTAGCATTAACAACTGAAATCGGGCAACCACCATAACCGAGCATAGCTGCCATCTTTATCCATTTAAAGATTGATTGTGTGAGCGCAACCTACGCAACCCCACTCCATAATGTTAGCCCTACTTCAGAAGGCTCTTGCCAGGTTTCTTCCAAAAGTAGAACAGAAAAAAGTGCAGCATCCGCTGTCATCCACCCATTCAAGAAATCAGGAAGAAGAATTCGGTGAAAATGGGTACATGCTTAACGCAAATCATGACTCAAAATGGGTCTGATTGATTTTAACCATTGAGCTCCCTTGAGATCCAAATAGTTTCGGGAAAACCGAAAGGTTGGCACCGCTTCTGTACATTCAGTTGGTTTTAAAAGTAATACTGGTTGATTCAACTTAAGTTTAAGAATAAACCCACAATTCTTACTGCATGGACGTATATATGCCTAAAACGTAATGATAACTAATTGTAATAACTCTGCCATTGGTTAACTACAACACTAGATCACATACACAAACATTCAACTGTACAAAGTCAAATTTGCTCCTGATCCCAGCAAAATTCCTACTCCACCTTTTTTGTAGATTCTGATTCATGGGGGCTAACCGACATCTTCTCAGGAATTTCAGGCTTAGACATGACTGATCGTCCCGTGCCAACACCTTTAGCAGAACCTGAGGCCTCTATTGTAAGTGAAGATGCCTCATCTCTAGAAGCATACCAGGAATTCCCACAAGCAATACATTCCAACTGAAACAAAAAAAAAGTTTAAAGAATGTTAATGGTTAAAGATAAAATGGATATCTGAATGTATATTCAAGAAAAAAATTTATATTGCTTGAAATAATATGGAATTTAGGTTGCAGTGCACATGGTAAATAGTACTAAACTGCATGCAGTTACCTCAAGATATCTAGACAAATAGTTGAATAATATAGAAGAAATTCTAGTTATAACACTGATCCTTAAAATGATAATTGGCATCTTGAGCCTTTTTCATAAGTTTGGGTGTCTCTTCTCCTTCCCCACCCCTATACAATTATCCCTTTTTTATGCTTATTGAACACTTTATATATACCCTATCTTATCAAATTTTTAAATAGTAACTCAATCAGAGCAGTACGCCTGTCTATCCAGTTCAGACAACAGTGAAAGATTTATAATACCATCTTGTAAGTCTGATAATAGCATTGTGTCTATCTTATGATCTTATAAAATGTAATTTCTACCCAAAAACAATTGTCCTCTTGTTCAATATGGTTAGTGTACTTTTAGTTGGTCTGAAATCTTGAAGACAAGTCCACAAATAAGGATGCATGATCATGTTGACAACATTATGCATAAAGATCCCAGACCCATGTTTTTGCAGTTTCACTTATTAATGTCTCTTGCACATAAACAAATTCAAAATTTTGAGCATGTACATGTATAGCTAGACTGAAACATAAACGGAGAAGTACTAGCTCAATCAACTTAGTACCATCACGGCAATCCCAGCATCATCTAATTAACATAGTAATAGTGATTGAATCGGAGAAAAAATATGAGATAACCTGATAGCGGTCTCCATGTCCTGCTTGAATAATGTCCCTTAGACCGACTTTAAACTCCATGCATCTTGAGCACCGAGCATCAGTCATCTGCTTTAAGAGTAATAGAACAACCAGTGAGCACATGTCAACCATGTTAACAAAAATGTTATCAGATTTTATGCTTGAACAAAAATTAGGTAGAATGACCTGCATGCGCTCTGATTCATCAGGCTCTTTTTTTGCTGTTTCTTCTGCAGTTAAACCCTCCTAAAGTTGAAATCGTTAGTCACAATATAACGCTATTCACAATAAACCAAAATCCTAAAGACATAAATGCAATAAAATGGGGGATTAATATTTACAAGCCATAGTTCTTAAAAAAGTTAAAATTTTGACTTCAGATGAACTTCTAAGCAAGGCACAAATAAAATAACTAAGAAGATTATAAATGTAAAAAAAGGACTTCTAAAGCCACCATGTCCATGTAGAAAAGATTATGTCAAAATTCTACTTGCCAACTTGTAAAAAGTATATTTCATCGCATTTTTTCATTCTTCTGGACGTAAAAGAAAGGATTAAGAACATATGAACAAAACAAATGAAAACTCTGTTTCATGGTAGGCTGCCCCTAGAATCCAAGTAGAATTGCATAAAAAAACACGTCAAAAATTATTTTAAGGTTAAATTTTGTCAAGTCCTTGAGATATTGAAATCAGTTAGTCGGCTAAAAGAAGTCTAACAAATAACAATGTTCAATAGTCAACACATTTCCAACTACATGAGGCAGCTATCACTTTCTTAAAGCAACAGGAAAAAAGAGAAGTCAACACCCTAACAGACTATACCTTTAACTCATTAGGTGACATGTTAAGTATTGTTGAAGGTTCCAATTCTCCATTTAGTAGGCGTCGAGCTAGCAATGGATTGTTCTGCCAAATAGGAACAAGAATCAACATCATCTTAAATGCAAACAAGGGAAGATATCTATAGAGGTTTATAAGCTGAAAGCCCTCTACCTTCAGATTGAACACAAGCTGCCGTAACTTCTGGTTATATTTCTGGAAATCAGAAGAAAGAGCATCATGTGAGGCCTTCTCAAGTGCAGTTACAGCAGGAACAGCAGCATCTGGCCATGGAAAAGACTTGCCACTCTGCAAATCGAGAAAGACAATAAATATTGTGCAAATCATAGTATCTCTTTGATGATCAATTACCACTCAATAGTACCTATTCCTATCATAAAAACTAAACATAGGGAAAAAAAAAGACACTGCACACATTTGAACTCTTCTCATGAGACCCATTTGCAGTTCCTGAACTCTTAGTGTCGCTTTCACGTTCCAAGCAATCAGAACCACTTTTTACTTTGTCATCAACATGCATGCTATCAGGAGAACTACACATGTACTGAACTCCTTGGAGAAGCCTCTCCATCCACTTATCACGATGGGTTTCCCCCGTAAGCACCATAGATTTTGATAAAATTGTATAGTATTCAGTGGTATTACTTGTACAGCTTCCAGGAGTTTCAGCTCTCAGCTGTTGATCAGACTTTGTAGTTCCTTCGTCATCCCTCGTAACATCAAGAGGTGAAATGTTCTTTTTCCTGAGAGTTCTTTTTGCCTTCAACTGCTCTTCCTGATCAACAACTGCAGCAGAAGCATCATCAATCTCAATGTCAGGGAGCTCTCCCAAACGTGATAAAGTTTTCTGAACAAGAACATCGATCTCATGCTGTTTATTATCCTCATAATCTTTATCAGTTAGCTTCCAAAGCTTTCGCTCCACAGTATCATAAACTTTCTGCACAATAAAACCGGGATGCTGTTTACGGTTAGGAAGTTGCTTGTGTATGGGAACAAAGTGCACCACACACTTGTGCATCACAGATTCTGCTGGAACCTCATCACGGTGGAAGCTATAGAACAGTTCTCTTGTATCACGTGATTGCCAGCTTCCACCCCCTTTTCTCTCAGCCTCTTCAGGGCGATAAAACCACTGCCCGGTAACCATAATGCTCCCAACTTTAGTCTGACTAATGTCCTATCAATAGATAAAAGCTCCATTATTTTCAAAGGAAGTGACCAAAAAGTCTTTTGAAAGTAAAGAAACTAAAAAATGGAATACCAGGCAATGCAATTACCTTAATGATTGCCACATAAGGCTTCTGTTCCTGATCTTCAGGAACTAAAAGAACCGGATCCTCCTGTAGACCAACACTAGTAAACATAAATAATAACACAAATAGACCATTATGCGAAGAATAAATAGCCCAAATTTCCAAACTACTGCAGCAAACAAAATAAAATAGAATGCCAGAAAAATAGGCCATTTGAATCTTCAGCAACAACTTTTCTAAAAGCAGCTCCATGCCTCCACATGTAAAATAGTTTTTAAAATTCACAAAAGATTAGTTCTACCAACATACACAAAGACACTCTTTTCTCCCCATGTTGCTATGAGCGCCCCCCAAATGCACCAAAAAAGCAACAAAATAAACACTATCCATAAATCAATTATACTTGTTTTAAAAGGTAATTGAAAAACATAAAAACAGAAACAGAAGAAAAACTCATTTCTACCAGGAATCAGTATTTCACTTCAGCTTTCTTTGACTAAAATCCCTGAGAAGCCACAGAAAGTATTATCACTATTCTCCAACTTGGACAGACAAGCACAAATGACAAAACCCCAACATCCATGAATAAAACTCACGAAGGTAAAAAAAAAGCCTTCGGTTTTCCCAATTACAACTGAAAATAACAGAAAAACCCAAACTGCCATAAAGAAGTATTAAAACCAAAAACCCTTTTCCGTTGAACGTAGGGCAACCACCTTCAGCCACTCAGAGGCAAAAGTACACGATAAACTCATTGAAAACATTGAAATCAACTAACCAATCAGACAATTAGAAAACAACCAGCAAATCAGACCATAAATTCGTATAAACAGAAGTAAAAAGTTCAAAACCTAAAATCCCACAAAACTATCAAACAATGCAGCATAAAAAACACAAGCCCTAAGAACGGAAACCCCTAGAATCAGAATCCAAACACTTAAAAAAGATTCCAAAAGAAGAAAACCCTAAAAATCCAAAATTAAAAAATGACTTACAAGATCATATCGATTGCCATCAAACTCAAAAGCTTCATAATGACTCCTCCTTCCTCTCCCCTTCCCAGAAACCCTAACAACCTCCCCTATCGGCTTTGCATCCTCCTGAACTCCCTCCTCTTCTTCTTCTTCTTCTTCCTCATCATCCTCGTCTCGCTTCTTCTTCATCTTCTTCTTCTTCAATTCCCTCTCTCCATCCTCTTCCTCTTCTTGTAGCTTCATTTTCTTCCTCTTCCTTTCTTGCCTCGTGTCTTCGGGCCGGGACCGTCGAGTAGGAATCGGGACTTCGTCCTCGTCGTCGCTAGTGGACACCTGAGCAAACCTTCGATTCCCCATTCGGACCAAGGCTGGCGATTTTTGCGGGGGTTTTTTTTCAAGTGATTTTTAAATTATTCAGTGGGAAATTTTAGAAAGGAGGAGATTGAAAAACAGTAGAAATTGAAAATTGGGTTTCTCCAATTGAAAGCCCGCCACGCCAAACTATTTGTGTTTTTTCTAAGGTTTATATAGGAAATGGGTTTCGGCTTATGAAATTCGGGCTTGTATATTTATTATATCATTTCTTTCCAGATTCTTCCACGCAAAAACCATTGTTGGAAGAACATGCTCTGTCTAAAGAAACAAGTTGATCTGATTTGATTTTGTTCACTTTTTCTTCTAAATTTCTTACTTACTACAAAAAAATTAAAAAAAAAAAACAACTTAGAAAATTTAAAACCAATCATTTTCATTTATGCTATTAATGTTAGTTTTTTTTTTTTAACAAAAAAGATTGCATTTTAAAAATAGGCAAAAAAAAAATGTCACTGTCATTTAATTTAATAACATCTAACGTGCAATTAAAAAAAAAATTGGATCAACATTTTGAGATAGGGAATATAGAAATGCTGAAAATGGTAATTTCAGCATTTATAAAATTTTAACAGTCAAAATCCCATAATAATTCCAGCTACATTGCTTATTTTCATGAATGATTTAAAAAGATTTCTTTCGTTATAGCAAGCAAAAGCAACTCATTTCAAATAACAAAATGCTCCGTACAAAACTAAAACACAGCTGTCATATGGCCAAAACTTCAATCAATTTCCTTCCAAAATTGATGTAATATCAACTATGACAAGATACTCCAACAATTCTGACCTACTGGGGAATCATTTGTCAAAATAAAGATCATCCTACTTACAACAAAAATGGGATTCTAGAATTAGGGGTGTTGCTATTTTTGTCCTCACTGCTCTCAACAATTTCTCTAAGGCTCATCCAAGATTTTCTCCTCCTTTTACTTGAAGCACCAATAGTTTTTTCTGCATCCGGTGTCGAGGGGTTGTTTTCAGATTCAGCTAGTTTTTTTGACCCAGATTTATTCCTGTTTCTCTTCTTCCCGTCCAATAAAGTCCTACCTCTCACCAAAGGAGTCACCTGACCATCTTTAGTAGGATTTTCAGCAGCTATTGCTGGTGATCCTGTTACATCCACCTTATTATGATCATCTTTACTTGTTTCTTTACCTGAGCTGGTAATAGACTTCTCAAGTCTGGACTTGACAGCTTTGGGGATTGAAGATGCTTTTAACTTAGGAGGGTACATTTCTTTCATGTGGCCTTTTGGAGTCCCTCTTTTCAGATTCCGATGTGAACAGAAGTGGCAGTTGTAAACCACACTATTCTGTGTCAAAATATGAGGCTTCTTATGTCTATGCCTTGCTTTTGCTCGATTCTTTTCAATGCGGACAGTGCAATTAAAGCCAGGCTGAAGAATTGTTTCACATCTGCAAAACATTAAATTGGAAATCAGGGGCACATATTTCCTACTGCATACAACATGACATTAGAATAAAAGAGAATAGATTAAGCAAAATATAATAAACAAGCAATTCAAACTACATAAACAGATCTGGCAATCTAACCTTTTGTCTTATCTTTATTACTTAGCATGTCAATCACATCTACAGAAGAAAGAAATGAATATAAATAATTATAAAGAAATGAATAAGTTGTCTATAATGTCTGCAGTTTTCTCCAAAAGGACCCAATTAGTCGATCAATTGAAATGAATGCTCATAAGAAAACTGCCTAATACAACATGTTAGTTTATGAGCTTGAAGACTGACATGAGAGAAAATAAATTGCAGATTGTATCAAAATAATTCTCAATCAAGTAATTACATATAGAATTTAATCTTGAACATACATTTAAAATGGACACCTATGTCAAGTAACAAGAAGTAAACAAGGATTAAAATTTTCGATGACAGGGAACCCTCAAGAGATTGAGATTCTCCCCACAGTGCACCACCCCCAATGGCCAACCCCTTTTCAGTCAGAGGGAATTCACTCAAGCTAAACCAGTTACATCTCAAAATTTCAATTCAAATTGGTGTACCATGAACCCTTTTCACTATGATTTAAAAGCGACAAACCCTGCATCAAACAAACTTGAACTGGGGAATCCAACAAAGAACCTTTTTCATATATCAATTTCATGTAGGAGATGATCCAAGAGCATAGTATAGATATCAAGGTCTAGTTTTTACAGTCAATTGCTTTCTGTTATTGAAGTTGAACCTGATGCAAGGACAATGCATCTGAAGCATCTTAAACAACTTCTTTTTACCTCGAAAGGTGCGCAATTTTGAAGCAAATATAATCCACAGACAACTAATAGATCTCAAATTCCCATAATATAGAGTTTAGTGCCAGAAATTGCAGACAAATTTCACTCTTTGAAACAAAAAGGAAAAAAGAAGTACTACAGACTAACCTCTGGCAAGGAAAGAGAGAAGGGTCAGGGGGGATTGCTGTGGCCTCTCCATCAGCCGCCAATCGGTGACCAAAAAAGCAAGCCAAAGATGGGATTGAAGCTTCGCCACTTGCCCACACAGCTAGGTTTTGCAAGTGTTCGTGTTTTAATATAGCTTTGACGTTGGACGATCCTCCTTTTGTTTGCTTCTTGCCGCTCGCTTCTTCTCGCAGTGAGATTGGATTTTGGAATTTGGATGGCGTGTTTGCTGCTCTTTTCACACCTCCTCTTCTCTTTCCCATGCTTTCGCTTCTTTCTTCTTTGCTTTCTTTCTCTGAATAATTTCGTCGAACAGTTAACACTGAAGACGCCCGCAAGTTTTTAAGGCGTCTTCCCTTTTTTTTTTTTATTACCTCTTCGAACCCTGGGGATTTGTTTCATGACTAAGCTAAGACGATGTCGTATATGATATAAGTGGAAAGGTCTCTCAAATTCTTAGTAGGTGGATTTGTAAATTTCCTTTTTTTGTTGAGAAGATAAACCACACTTGAGCCTATAGGAGCATATAAAAGAGTTTTATGCATATATGTTAGATATCACTTTGGCCTAAAATTTTAAATTATTAAGTTTTTGGGTCTTTCATGCATATATAAAATGTTTCATTCAGATTTTTTAATAATATGAGATTATTTACTCACATGTGAATCATATTTCAATAATCTCCCTCGTTCACTTATGAGTTCTAATCAAAATTCACTTCGACTCTCGTACAAATAAGTCATATCAATACCTCATTTAGGCCAGACAATCTCATATCTTTAGTGCACTTTTTAGGTCAGACCACAGCACTCTATCTTACCACTTAAGTTGTCTCGGTACTCCTTCAAGTTTGACTTACACTTCAAACGAGTAAATTCTATCAACACCTCATTTGGGTCAGACAACTTCACATCTCTAATGCGCTCTTAGCGTACTTTTTAGGTCAGGCCATAGCATTCTATCTTGTCACCTATGTTGTCTCAGTGCTTCCTCAAGCTTAGCTTACACTTCAAGCGAATAAGTCCTATTAACACCTTATTTAGGTCAGATAACCTCACATCTCTAGTGTGTTTTTTAGGTCAGGTCACAACATTCGATCTTACCACCTAGATTGTCTCAATGCTCCCTCAAGCTTAGCTTACACTTCAGGTTAACTCAACACATCACCTACTTTCACTTTTGCATATTATCATATGCTCTCTGTATCAAAGTCAAATCTTTTATTATCAGTGCTCGAGCACGTGAAGTTGATAGATGTAGCCAATCTCCGATCTACCAACAATCTCATCTCTTAGCAACACTAAGTTAAGTCAACACATTGCTCACTTGGGTGTTTCATTTTTTTATATTATCATATACTCACTGCATTTAAGTCAAATATTTTAATATCGGCATTTGAGCACATAAAATTGACGGATGAGGCGAACCTTTGATTTGCCAACAATCTTTTAATCTAACAACATCATTGGGACTCTGCATATTATCATATACTCGCTGCATCCAAGTTAAATCTTTTAATATTGGCATTTGAGCATATAGAGTTGATGGACGTAGCTAAGTACAACTCATCAGCGTTCGAGCACATGAAGTTGACGGATGCAGCCAAACACATAGAGTTGATGGATGCAATCAACCTTCAATATACCAACAATCTCATCCCATAGTAACACCAAGTTGACTCAACACATCACCCATTTGGGTGTTCTACTTTTGCATATTATCATATACTCACTGTATCTACGTCAAATTTTTTAATATTGACATTCAAGCACATAGAATTGATGGATTCGACCAACCTTCAATCTACCAATAATCTCTTTTCCCAACAGCATCAAATTGACTTAACATATAGCTTACTTGGGTGTTCCAACAATTTCCTCTCCCAAGAACACCACTGGGACTCGAAATTGTAACTTTGATTTTGATACCACTTGTTGGAGAGATAAATTATATTTGGAGTCCATGAAAACACATCAGATAACCTATACATACATGTTAGACACTACTTGACCTCAAAAGCTTAAACTATTAGATTTTTGGATTCTTAATGCATATATAAAATATCTCATTCAAATTTTCTAATGATATGAAATTTTTTACTCACAGTTGAATCATATCCCAATATTTTTTTTATCTTGTAAATCTTAAAAAAGGAAAATTGTTTTATATATAATCAAACAGTCATTGATACATTATATTCACATATGTAATATTTTATTTATCATATTCACATATATAATATTTTACTTAGAGTGCTACACATGGTTATTTGAAAATTGGTTAATTGTATTTTTAATTGATCATTTATAACACTTATTCTTTTAATGTATAATTCAAACTAAACAAATTTTATCTTGAACAACATGCAATAAAAGAATTCAAATGTTACAATCCACCGTGCTAACTAGGTAATTAAAATATAATAAGTATTTTTATGTAATTATAAATATAAATAAAAATTGTAATAATCATAATTAAACATTTAGATTTCAACATAGTCATAATACCACATGATTAAACTTTTAATGTCATATAAAATTTTGATAAATTTTACATAATTTTAAATTATAATTAATTATATTATAATAATTATACATAATATACCGATGGCTTTGGTCTCTACTCGACCAAGGAAAACTCCATTTCTTTCTATTTCAATCTACCACTTAACTTGCAAATTGGCCAATTTCTCCACGAGAATTCGAGATGATTTACCCAAAAAAAAAAATCATATATATTAATTAATTTGAATACTTTTATCACTAGGCTTTTTTTTTTTATGTTATCATGTTTTTCAATTCCTTTACATTAGCTTTTTAGGAGTTTTTATGCTTCGGTTTTTTTTTTATTCGATCCAAGCAAACCAAGTTTATTAAGACAAAATCATATATATTAATTAATTTGAAGTCTTTTAATCAAATTCATAGGAAGAATCATAAATACCATAATGAAGAATCAGTTATTATCAACTGAATATCCAAAGAACGCAAAACTTAATAATTTGGTTAATACTTGAAAAGGAAACATAAAAAGATATTTAATAAAAAAATTTGTGCGAAACAATTATATCATATTAATATATATTCATTTTATTTTAGATGTCTTTATGAACTGAATCAAATCAAATTTAATTAAATTTATATTTGATATTAATAATTTATATATTTGTTTAAATTTGATTCAATCCAAAATTTTAAATTTTAAAATTTTATCAACAATTAAAATCAAAAAATAACTCTTACATTCACTTATCAAACTTAATTTATATAATAAAAAATTAAAAAATATGATTACATTAAATTTAATTAAATTATATTCAATTCACATATATTAAAAAATTAAAATTAAAAAATATATATATAAAAATTAAAATTAAAATTAATAAAATATATACAATTTTTATTTTTAATTTATATATAATTCACATAACTAAAAATTTTACACATATGTGAATTCATATTGTGTCAAATCAAGTTTCAATTTTAAAATTTTTGTTCAAGTTTCATCTCAAAATTTAAATAGGCTTCAAAATTATATTAAATTTATTTAATAAATTTTAATTTTTTTCAAGATTTTTCAAAATTTGAACGAATTTTAGACTCGAATGAATAGCCTAATTATTGAACAAGTATACTCCATTCAAATTATATTATATAACTATATTATTGAAAAAAATTAATCATTTATTATATATCATATGTAATTATTAAATGATAAATATTAATTATAATAAATTATTTATTTAATAATAAAAAATAATTTTATAATAATATTAGTATATGTCATCATTTAAATAAATATATAGATATAATGCAACGATTTGTACGATTTAAAAATGTAAAAAAACAAAACAAAAGTTTCTAAATAAAGACGTGCAAAAATGGATAAACGTTAAAAAGGAAAAACATCGAGGGAGGAAGTGTTGACGTGTCAGTAGCCGAGACAAGTGGACCACAGAGAAGGAATAAGTTGTCGCAGTATTTAATCAACGTTCCTGCAACACCAAAAGCCGCGGTATTTAATCCCCTCCCTGCAACACGTAAAAGTCCACTCTTTTTCGCCCTTCAATAGTTTCCACTTCAAAAGTGTAGTGACTACCCTTCCCTCTGCACCTCTCTTTTCCATTGCACTTCAAAATCAGATAAAATCAGCTAGAAAAAAAACACCTTAGAATTTGATTGATAAAATCAGCTGAGGTAATTAACTCGTCATCTTTTTCTTTTACTTGACTTGGATTTGTATTTTTGACTTCCTTACGAGTTGATTAGACGTTCATCTTGAAAGGTTTACGTAATCTGTTTCGTTCTTCTGTAACTTTTTTTTTATTGGTTGTGAATTTGATTTGGAATTGCTTTCTAAATGCAGCATTTGTTTTTTTTATTATTATTTTTTGTTATTTTTTATTGTAGGTTATTGAACTGAAAAGTTTTAGTGGTTAGTAATATATGATACGAGTTTTAATGGAGAAATTTGATTTTAGGTTTCACTAATGGAATAGGAATGTTGTGTTTTAGAAGATTACGTGGATGCTAAGCTGGTTAGTTTTGAAATTAGATTATTAGTTGATTAAGACTGTTGCGTTGTTATGAGAAGTAATGTGTTAATGTTAACTCTCTTGTAGAGATAATAGCTAATTGTGGTTCTATAACTTGTAACTGAGAGGCTTCAATTGTGTGTTTTGAAGGGGCAGACTGATGGCGCTTGTTTCTAAGGCACGCCCATCATGTTGCATCCGTAGTGATATAATACGGGGTAGAACTAGACAGAATGTGGCGTTTGGCTTGGTAAACAACATTGGGGCTCCTTTAATGAAGGAAAAATCTGTCAGTTTGTCTTCCTTATCATGCAACAATGCCAAGATAGCACAGATCTTCCCTTTAGAAACTGCGGTATTTCAAAGCAACAGAAAGAATAATGTGATTGTTGCAGCAAGCCTTCCCACAGGGGATGCTTTGATTGGTACAGAGCCATTGACGAAAGAGGGATACCTTGCATCTGGATGTAAGCCTAAGGAATAATGGAGATAAAAATTCCCCTGTTTTGTTTGGATTAGACTACTTTTTTTATGCCCTTATATTCTACTTGAAGAAAAAGTTATCTAATCATTACGTCTTGCCTTTTCAACTTGCATATTACCAGTCTCACACATGATTTTTTGAGAACCCTTTGTTGCCTCTATAACTTCCTGATATTGATAGTTACTAGCTAGTTATATGTGGCTCTTGATATGTATTTTAGTATTTATATTGAAGGATTAATGTCATGAATGATCCTTAAACTATCGTGAAATATTTAATGTGGTACTTGAGCTTTAAAAATCTCCAATGTGGTACATGAATTATGAATTTGTTAACTAATGTGGTACTCACTTGGTTAGCTTTAAATGATGATATGTGGTAGACAAACAACCCTCCAAGTACTACATTAGTTAACAGACTCATAATTCAAGTACCACATTAAAAAATTTTAAAATTTAGGTATCATATTGAACATTTTACTGTAGTTTAAGCGGGCCATTCATGACATTATCCCTATATTGAATTTTGTGTTAGTTTAAATCTTTTCATTAGCACATTCTCTTCCTATTTATGTACTTATTTGCTGATGCAACTATTTGGTTTTTACAGGATAGGTACAGAGCATGAAAAGTTTGGTTTTGAGTTCAAAACTTTGCGACCTATGAATTATGAACAAATAGCAGAATTGCTTAATGGTATTTCAGAGAGATTTGATTGGGATAAAGTAATTGAAGGTGACTATATTATAGGACTTAAACAGGTGAACTGATTATCTTTACTTATGGTGCTTCATAATGGCTATCATTAATTTTCTTTTCATTCTGATTGTCCATAGAATTTTTCTGAAACCTTTACCTTTTGTGAGCTAGGGGAAGCAAAGCATATCGGTTGAACCTCGAGGACAGTTTGAGCTCAGTGGTGCACCTCTTGAAACTTTGCATCGAACATGTGCAGAGGTTAATTCACACCTCTATCAGGTCAGCTAAAGAGCAAAAAAAAGTCATATGCATGAAACCTTTTAATTAACTTCTACATTCTTAAGAAAGTGCATGCAGAATTAGACTTTATCAAGGATTCAGTACTATTTATAAGCTCAAGACTTGTGCGCTCTGAAAAAAATGTGCTTATCATGATAACTTCTATATCATCTAAATTACTTTGTCTAACAAACTTCAAATTTGTCCTCTCTATGTCTTCTGATATCTTAGCAGCATAGACACCCTGGCTTGTCAAAAAGTAATTACTTCCAAAAGTATATTCTAATTGTGTGTGTTTTTTTTTTTTTTAATTTCTTTGTTCACACACTCTTAACCTTTCCACTTCCACTTAAGCATATACAATGCCTACATTACCTTTTGCTAGGTTAAAGCTGTTGCAGAGGAAATAGGAATCGGCTTCTTAGGGATTGGCTTCCAGTCTAAACGGGGAATAAAGGATATTCCTGTTATGCCCAAGGTATAACTGTAATTACTCTTTCTGTTTTACAAATTGAATGAAAATTAGGAACGCAAATTGTCTGATGGATGTATTAAGCAATTTTTGGTTTTCCTTCCTCATTATTTTCACCTTTGTGATACTCAATCTCTACTTTGGCAATTATATCATCCTATCATTCTGTTATAGTCTGATATATTTCTTTTGCTCAGGGAAGATATGAGATAACGAGAAATTACATGCGTAAAGTTGGTTCACTTGGACTAGATATGATGTTTAGGACTTGCACGGATCAGGTTAGATGAATTTTACATTTTCAACTATCCAGCCTTTCGAAGCAGATCCTTTAACCCTTTTCCGCCTCTATAATTTATAATAGGTTAATCTGGACTTCAGTTCAGAAGCTGACATGATAAGGAAATTTCGTGCTGGTCTTGCTCTGCAACGTGTGAGAACATTAATATTTTGCCATCCCCTGAAATTCTCTGCTTTACAAATTTCCAACTAGTGTATCTAATGAAACAAATAGCAGCAGCTCTATTTGCAAATTCGCCTTTTACTGAAGGAAAGCCAAATGGTTACCTCAGCATTAGAAGGTTCTGAAAACTTACTATAAAGTCATTTTTTCATAGTCTTCTCTGTTTTCATATTTATTGATTTTTCTTTAAAAAAAAAAAAGAATTGAACAGTCAAATCTGGAGTGATACTGATAATGATCGTACGAGCATGTTTCCATTTGTTTTTGATGACTCTTTTGGGTAAGCTTTGTTTATGTTAACAGTACATACAAGTGCTCTGTGACTTTAAATTAGCTTGCTTAGAAAATCCAGTCCTATTATTGTGAACATTTCAATCTATCAGATCCTTGTGAGAAATCATCCTTTCTTGTGTCTGGTTAATTACATGATGGTATTTTATTTATGTGTTGCATGTTTGAGCTGTATGTTGACTATGCTCTTGATGTTCCAACGTATTTTGTATATCGGAAAAAGAACTACATTGACTGCACCGGGATGACATCCAGGGTTTCCATCTATCCTTGATAGTCTTGTAATTTGAAGCTTCTTCTGTAGCCATTCTTTTTTACTCATGCATTCAGGCCTCTGTGTTGCTCAACATTCTTTTCCATAAAATCTTGATAAATATTTTGACCTCAAATTTCTTTATTCTGTCAGAATGACAGTACTCATGATTCAGGATTTTATGGCCGGAAAACTTCCGTGTATTCCTGGTGAACTGCCGACCCTTAATGACTGGGAAAATTGTTTGACAACAATATTTCCAGAGGTCTATTGCTTAATTCGAGATTGACTTGCTTAAACTTTATATTTTCTCTTATTTAAGCCACATGTGATTCTTTCCATTCAGGTTCGACTTAAGAGGTACCTGGAGATGAGAGGTGCTGATGGAGGGACTTGGAGTTATGTGCTTTGCCAGCGTTTTGGGTGATTGGCCCCTTTTATGTGCTTATGCACAATCCATATCGTGAATGATTTAGTAGTACCTGTGGAATGAAAATCAGTGCTTCGACAATTTTATATGAAAACACTCTTAAGGCTAGGTGTCTCAATTTGAATAACGTTATTTCGTGTTTTCAGCTTTGGTTGGTCCCACGTTGATATGCTGTCGAGCATCTACGTGTAATTATAAACTGTATAATGATTTCTCAAGCATCTCTTTTTCCACATTGCTATTACGGCCATTTAGGTTAGCCTTTAAACTGTTATGTATAACGTTAAGTTTCCTGTTATGTAATTTTAATTCAATGGGGCTTGTTTTGTGCCTATATTAATGACTGTATATTTTCATCTTTCTCATAATCCATATCTTCCTTTCCAGGATGTGTGTATGCTTGCTCTCTTGCTTGTTGAAAACAGAATATTAACTGTATAATTTCTGCAAAAGTTGCTTATCTTAAGTTTCTTTCTGTTTTCAGGTGGGTTTGTTAAATGATGAGGTCTCACTCCAGAATATTCTAGACATGACAGCTGATTGGACCACTGAAGAGAGAGAAATATTGAGAAATAAGGTAATTGAAACGCTCCCTTAGCAATGTCTCTTTAGGAGGGTAGAAATACTCCCTTTTTTGTTATGAGCACTTTGGTGTCCTTAGATGTTCTAGGCTTGCATTTGTTGTCAGTCATAGAAGCATACTTTATGCCCTTTATGCTTAAGGTCCCAGCCATTCGCTGCAACCAAAAAAAAGAAAGGAAAAAAATGAAGTGGCACCAAGTGGGTGCTGATCCAAGTTGATTATGCTCGAGTTTGTTTTACAACTTATTCTCAATTTTTGGAGTGCAACTTAAGAATGTCTCTGGCAAAAAATATAAATTCAAAATTGCGTTTAGTTTACAGTATTGAGATACATGTATACAGCTTTTGCTTTGTCCTTTATGCAGTGCTAAGACTGCAGGTCTAAGTTCAAAGATCTGTTTAGTAGGTTCCAAAGACTGGTTTAAAGGCACCATTTCGGTATGGGTTCTTGCAGCATGTAGCAGAAGATGTATTGAAGTTGGCAAAGATAACATAAGATATTTCTATTTTTTTGTTTTGTTTGAAATCCTAAACTAGTCATTTTTTCTGCTGCTGCTGTCGTAGATTTTACAGTTACTTTTTAACTCTAATCAATAGCCATGTGGGATGGCTTGGAAAGAAGAGGCTTTAAGGAGGCAGGGTTCTTGAATGAGGTGGCATTAGAACAGATACCCAGTTGAGAGCTGTATAATTTACATATTTTTCCTGGATTTCTGTTTGCCAGGTCTGAGGTGTCAACCCATCCGACGTGTACTTTATCTTGCATAAACACCCCTTCTCTTGGAGTTGAAAAAGAGGGATGATGGGATAGTTGAAATATTTCTATAGTTTGAAGGCTTTTAATTCCTTATTGTTTAGAAGATTGATAGTCATGATGAATAAAAAATTTGTGGCAGGTGTAACACCAGCTGAGAAGCTTTTGGATTTGTATCATGGGAAGTGGGGAGAATCTGTTGACCCCGTTTTTGAATAGCTGCTTGACTGAGATGAATTGGGTTCTTTTGAAGCTCAAGTGACCTACTTCAAAGCTTCCCTCTAAGATGAATGTGGTACTTGAGCAACTTCTTTTGCTTGTAATTCCCGCAGTGACTTTGGATGTAACCGTTACTTGCATATTGAATGCTTGTACAGGAATAAATTATAATGTAAATTCCTGGACAGTAGTCTAGAGGGAAAGCGGTAGCCAGGGCCTGATGGGCAGCCATACCATCTGAAAGGTGAGTTGCCTGTGAATGTGATGACATGAAATTATTATTATCCTATATATATGTACGGGGAAGGAAAACGAAGAGAAGATAATAATGGAATTATATGGTTATCCTAACTGGAGTGAAAGCTAAAGTGGTTGCTGTGGAGGGAACAACTTGACCTAATTTCTGTATTTATAAAATGACATCTCACCTTACTTATTTCTCACACCACCCTTTGGGATAATTAGGCCTTCCACAAAAATCACTCCAAAGCTTTACTCACTGTAATAGTTAAAACTTTAGAAAAGGTACAGCATAGGCATATTTCAATATTATGAATGTAAATTAAGATTCAGATTAAGACAGGTTTTTTATTTCCCTACTTGTGATTAGAAAATGTTTACATGGAGGTGAGGGTAAATAACTAAATATTTGTTCGAATTCAAAGTTTGGGTAAATAACTAAAGATTTGTTCGAATTCAAAGTTTATCTTTTTAATTCATGCAATCATTTTTAAAATAAAATATTTAACAAATCTATTATTCAAATCACATTATTATAAATCTGTTACTACAATATTATAATTATCTTATCATAATAAAAAATTATATAAGAGTTTACTACTTATAAGTGTGAGTTTTATATAAAATTTTGATAGTTTTCACGTAATTTTAACTTGTAATTGATTAATTGTATTATAATTTTAAATTATAATTGATTAATTGTATTATAATTATTGTAAGCGATATATTTACTCAAATTATAATATGTGCAACTTTTTTTTCTCTTATCCAATCTCTTTTAATAATAATAATAATAATAATTAAAAAATTGCTTTAACCATTTTATATTTTTTTGTGGAACCTTTGACTTCTACCATTAGGTCCATTACTCTATTACCAATTTGTTCAACAAATATAATAATCCTAGACTTATCCCAGTAAATTAAATCAGAATTTCTATGTTGTTTTGTTTGGTTTAATTTTTTTGCTTTACTACTACACTAAGGCTAAGGGTAACACCCTCTAGAACATTATCCATTTCTTTACATCACATCACATAAATCTCTATCCATCCCTAGATTGAACCAACAAATGTGAAAACCAGAAATCACAAAAATACTGTGTCGTGGACTCATGATAGTGAATTTTTATTTTAACGAAAAAAAAGTAGTAATAATTAAAACTCTTGAAAAATGGAAGTGCTTGTACCATTATATATCCTTGACCTTGAATATATGATGGATTGGAGGGCATTAAGCATTGGATTCCAGCAAGTAGGCAACTATTTGCTTGTGCCGTTAGGGGCAGGAAAGATGGGCCAGACAGATTAGTTTTATTTTGAGAGAAGTGACAGATTAACTCTCTCACCCCACCAATAATTGAAGCTTTGCCATCTCTTATCGTGAATTTTTTTCAAATGATGTTATCACGTATTTGTTAAATTTTGATTTTTTTTATAATTTTATATTTAAATTAAAACCTTCATTTATTATCAATTAATTTTACATTTGATACTTAATATTATATCAAATTCTATTCTATTCTATTGTTTTTATTACTTTTAGTTGTTATTTCTCTAAGTTTGTCATGTAATAAATTTATATTTTTATTTATTATGTAATGAAATATGATGAAATTTGATATAATAATATTATTTTACATTTGTTAAGTCTTGAATTTCATTTGATTTTATATTCAAGTTGAGACTTATTGTTAATTGAATTTAGATTAAATGCTTATTTTTTTTCTTATTCTTAACACACTTAATTTTATACTTAAAATTAGAGATGCAATCTTTTAATGATTTCTAGAGCATAACCACCTTATCAACTTGCTAATGCTTTCCCCTTCTTCAATATTATTTTATAGGTTTTTCTGATCATACTGACAGAGTTTGTCTTTGTATAATTACAACTAAATTATTAAGTACTTAAAATCAATGACAAATAATAATTTTTGGGTCAGAGTTATAATAGTGTTGTACTTTCTAAAACTAAGAGAAGTCGAAAGAAACAAAAAGATATCGTTTCAATGAGTATCCTCCTGACGACATATAATGAGAATTGGACAAGAATTTCACTTAGAACCATTAAATATCTAACACTTTGAACGTTTTAAAAACAAACAAAATAAATATTGTCAACATATACGCATCTGTTGATAGACGTTTTGAAGTACTTGAGATTTTCAGTTTTAAAGACATGAATGGATGTTCTCGTAGTATGATCATGTTTGCTGGCAACTACGTTATAATAAGCATGCAAGTTTGTGTGATTTCTGTTAATAGATGGGTATTTGTTTTTATAAATGCTAATGAAAGGTGGGGAATCACCTTGGATTTGGAGTATGCATGGGTTGGTCCTTTTTTATGAACTTGTATGTGATGAACATGGCATTGATACCACAGGTTACTATTTTGGTACTTCTCGGGTTCAGCTTGAGAGGGTTAATACAATGAAGCCAATGGTGACCGCTATGTGCCAGGAGCTGTACTAACGGACCTTGAGCCAGGGACTATGGACAGCTTGTGTACGGGTCCTTATGGACAACTGTTTAGTCCTGATAACTTTGCTTTCAGCCAAAATGGAGCTGGGAACAACTGATTCAAGGAACATTATACTGAGGGAGCTAAATTGATGGATTCAGTTCTTGATGTTTGTCCGTAAAGAGGCTGAGAATTGTGATTGCTTACAAGGGATACTTCACCTCCGTCAATTCTTCATTTCAAGCAATAAAGAGTCGTTTAATTGATAAGATATTTGATCTTGGAGATGTTCAAATTGTTTCATGTCTCTTTTAGGTAGCAGAACTGAAGCAAAAGTTCTTTTCAGATTATTGCTTTAACTTACTGTTCTATCACACAAAAGCTAGCCTTATGGTCACCATGCCTTCACATTTAACACTTTATGAGTCATTAATACTAGTAATTTTCCTTTTTCATTGTCTTGTTTGGTGTTTTGTAATGGAATCTTACATGTAACTGTAATCAGGCTTTCAGATTTGCCATTCTTTGGGAGGTGGAACTGGGTCAGGAATGGGGACACTGCAGATATCAAAGATCAGGGAAGAATACCCTGATAGAATGATGCTGACTTTCTCGGTCTTTCCTTCACCTAAAGTCTCTGATATTGTGGTTGAGCTGAGCCCTACAATGCAACCCTCTCAGTGCACCAGCTAGTAGAAAATGTTGATGAATGCATGGCCCTTGTCAATGAAGCTTTCTATGACATCTGCTTTAGAACTCTCAAGCTCGCAATCCAAGCTGTAAATTGAAACTTAACTTTCACTATTTTCTTTGTCCCCATTAGACCTTTTATTTTCAGACCACACCTTTTTAACTTTTTGTGCATGTATACGAACAGTTGGTGACTTGAACCATTTGATTTCAACAACCATGAGTGGAGTCACGTGCTGCCTTCGCTTCCCTGGACAACTCATTTCTGATCTCCGGAAACTAGCAGTGAATTTAATCCCATTCCCACGCCTGCACCTTTTTCATGGTTGGTTTTGCACCCCTAACATCCCGTATGAGGAAGCAGAGGAAAATTGATGGGATTTTTTCAACTTATAGCCATGGCCAAAACCCAAAAAACAAAAAAGGTATTTGGGACTATTTTTTTATTGTCATTTGATGCTTAATAAAGAGGCCATGTAATCCATTTGTGTTCGGAATTTGGTTCCTTTTAGCAATGTGAATTATGATTGAGAATTTGTGATTAATTATATGTAAATTTGGAGTGTAAATTTTGCATGTTTGAATGTTTATTTATACCATGTTCTTTTTTGGCTTGTTTATTGGAGTGCAAAATTTTGTACCTTTTCACCCTCTTTTTTCTCAATTTCTTTCTTTTCTTTTTTTCAAAATTGTCAATTTCTTTTGTGAACGTCAACCAAAGTGGTGACCTGTGACTTGATAATTAACATTTAAGACAAAACTCTATTTCTTATATCTTTCAATCAATTCATGAGTCATGAGGCTTTAATTTTTCTTTTAATTCCATTTATAAATGAATCTGAAAGTCAAATCTGACAAAATAAATAAAACTTTTCATTTCACCATCAAAATTAAAATATAGATTGTTTTTTTTTTGAGGGAAGACATTGAAAGTAAGATATAACTTGCTCAAAGTGACAGAAAAAAATCCTTTCTCTTCCAATCTTCAAGAAAAAAAAATTAACAAAATACAAAAACAGCCAATTTCATCTCCATATGAGCAGCCACAATCAGTAGTACTGTACATAAATTACAAGCATGACAACATCTTCTATTCACCCTTTTAAAAATGCAATTTTAAACAACTAAACCCTTCTCTACAAATATATAATTTTGTTCCCTAATTATTCCCCCAAGATCATTGTAATGGGAAGTAAGGATGAAAACAAGGGTAGATCTATGGTGTCGTCTCAATACCCCTGTCAAACTGACCAAATCCAACCCACATCCAATATCTTGTAAAAGAATGTTTCAAGCTGACCATGAACCAGATAGTCATGCACAGAAAGGATCGACATGATATGTGTTCTTCGTATCCCATGGTTTCTTTCGAGGTTAAAAAGCTGTTCTCTTGCTTGCCTGTAAACGGAGAGGCTTATTTTTGCCAAGGGATGGTCATATTCAGGTTGATTGGAGAGTGACTTATTTAAGCTTAGATAACTGTCAAGGAGTTGCATTCTTTTTATTTTCAAGCCCTGAACCCTCCCTCAGAGCAGCCTGTGCCTCGTCCTCCTTTCCTATAGCAAACAGAGCAGCAGCTTGCAAGTAGGATGCAACATGCCACATA